ATATAGCTAGAAAGATACCCTGGGGCTTGAATTAGGATTGAGATTGTAGGTTCTTAAAGATGAATCTAAGCATTGTAGGTTCTTAAAGATGAATCTAAGCTATTTGGAAATTGTCAAATAGGTAGTGGAGACTCCTGCAATTTTTTAAACAGTAAACTGACATCATCACACATCGGTAATATCAGTGAGGTACAGACTGAATTGGATCAGTCAGAAACTACTTGCAGAAGCCCAATTAAGACCCCGTGGCAATAGTCTGAAGAGAGCATTAAAAACCTGGACTGAGTCCAGACAACACGAATAGAAAGAAAGGGGTGGATGAAAGACACATCAGAGAAAAGGAGTCAAGAGAACTTGTCAATTGAATATAAAAGGTAAGCTAGGAAAAAGGGAACGTCAAAGGAAACTCCCAACACTTTAAGTCTAGGTGACTATAGGCATGCAATATTTGTGGATCAGAGGTAAAAGGAAAAGGGAATTCTGCACAAGCACATGTAATTGGAATCCTACTATTATTCTTTTAGTTTGGAAAATAGATATTAGGTAGCAATAGTAGTTCTGTAGTTTAACTTTTGAAAATGCTTTTATGCCAGGGAAACACAAACTGAATAAAGTTTTGAGTGGCTGTCTAATAAATGTGGGCGTGAGCAGCTTGTTTTGAAAAAGTGGGACTTTGATTTGGAGAGAGGGTGAGGGAGAGAGTTGGGCAAATGTCTCTATGACTATTCTTTCTGTCTTCTTTCTGGGACCCAGTGGGATGCAACCCATTTTTAGCTTAGCACAATGGTTCATAGTGCTTGCTATGAAAGTAAAAATCAATCCACCTAAGGAAAAGGTCCAGTTATGACAAGCCTCTAGCTAGAATATGATTCAGAATAATTTTCAGCCATGAGCTTAGATCATCCAGTTATCTCAATAGCTGTCTAGAGAGTTTTGAAAACTTTCCCAATTAAAATCTTATTTTTTTCTTAAAAAATAGAACTCATTCCCTATAGAATATTTAGGATTGTGACAGATGCTCTGAAATCAAAAGAAAGAAACAATGATACGGCACTACAACTTCTAAAAATTTGAATTGAGTTTCTGCCATGTTTCTTGACTCACAAAATGGTGCCTGAGCCATATTTTGATTTGTTCACATTCAATTTTCCAGTAACTTTCTAAGCACTGTTTTTTAGAGACAATATATCTGTGGGAAGGGAGTGAAGCAGATAAATTAATGGGAAAAAAAATAGCAGATAATTATCATTACCTGAAAGTACACACACACACACACACACACACACACCCCTATTTTTAAAAAATTTCTAAAGCAATAAAGAGAATCAAATTACTACAGAAACAAATTTAGAAATACTAATGTCTACTACTGGGGAGATCTGAATTCTTTGTTTATAATTTTCAGTTTGTTCAACAACCTTCTGTGTTTAAGTAAGACAAAATTAACCAGTCTGGCCATAGGTTATGGTCTGCTATTTCTCTAAAGCAGTGTACCAGAAAAACAAAGCAGACTTTAATATATTATTTTCCCTAGCCCCAGGATAGAATCTCCAAACATCTTAAGGTATGAGTTATTGAGAAATGCTGTCCCATTGTGGTGAGAGACTGCTGGGGGAATAGTTGTGTGGGCACAGGGTAGTTCCTGATGCTTTAATGTTACCTTGGCACCAAAGAATAAGAAATAAATTATAGTGTAAAACCCTATATAGAAACAAAACACCAACTGATGCTCATTCATTAGTGCAAGTAGTCAAGGAGTATGGGTTTTACTTACTAAAAAACTTCCACCAGGTGTGGTGGCTCATGCCTGTAATCCCAGCACTTTGGGAGGCCAAAGTGGGTGGATCACAAGGTCAGGAGTTTGAGATCAGCCTGGCCAATATGGTGAAACACCGTCTATACTAAAAACACAAAGATTAGCCGGGCATGGTGGCATGTGCTTCTAGTCCCAGCTACTCAGGAGGCTGAGGCAGGAGAATCGGTTGAACCCGGGAGGCAGAAGTTGCAGTGAGCCTAGATCATGCCACTGCACTCCAGCCTGGGTGACGGAGCGAGACTCCATCTCAAAAACAAAACAAAACAACAACGTAAAGCTTCCATTTAGGCTCTGCTTCTTTCTTTGTGCTTTGTCCTTTGAAATTGGTAAGTTTCTTTCACTGATCTTTCTAGATGTTTACCTACTTGTATTGACTATGTAGCCTTATAAACACATAGCCTTATAATAGTATGTAACGTGAAGTCATTATGAACACAATAGTTCTCCTTTATTTGCAGTTTTGCTTTCCGAGGTTTCAATTATCCAAGGTCATCTGTGGCCATTCATGATGCGCAGAAAATATGAAATAGAAAATTATAGAAATAAATGATTGATGTCTTAAATTGCCCACTGTTCTGAGTAGCATGATAAAATCTCACACGGTCAAACTCTGTCCCACCCAGAATGTGAATCATCTCTAGCCTGCTCCTTCATCAATTGTTAGCCATCTTGCTTATCAGATCAGCTGTCTCAGTATCGCAATGCTTATGTTCAAGTAACCCTGATTTTACTTTATGATGGCTCCAATGCACAGGAGTAGTGATGTGGCATTTTGTTATAATTGTTCTATTTTATTATTGTTAATTTCTTCATTTTACTTAATTTATAAAGTAAATTTTATCATAGGTCTGTATGTATAGGAAAAAACCAGAGTATTGGGTTTGGGACCACCTGCAGTTTCAGGCATCCACTGGGGGTCTTAGAATGTCTCCCTTGTGAATAAGGGGAGACTACTGTATGCGTTATAGTATACATTATTAGAAATGATACAAACGTGACATTATAGATATATAAGGATGGGATGGCAGGCCACCCTGGCTGGTGCTTCTGATTACATCCCTCTCCAGCTTCCTGCTGGTTAGGATTACACACCAGGGCTTTGACAAATGCAAGATTTCTAATTAAAGCACATCTATGCTCTAGTTTTTTCTTTTTGAGTTTCTTACCTGCATGCATTTTCTATTAGGTGTTAGGTTATGTAACAACTGCTCTGACAGGTTAAGAATCTGATATTAAGTAGGATGTGTAAGAATGCAGGTGAAACAGATACCCTCCACACACTCAAGCAGGTTTCTGCTTTCAATGGTCATTACCAAGAAAAACTAGAGTGCCTGCTTTCTTCTCTTGTTATTATTATTCTCATAATTCTTAAATTCAAATGAAATTAAAAATTCCTGGGTTGAAACCAGCTTTAAACAAATGATATTTTGTTTCTGGTTTGTGCACAATTAACTTTCTCTATGAAAGATCCATTTCCTATTCCAAGGTAAAGAATTATAGGAATGTGTATAATTAATTTTAGAGGTAGCTATTTTTAAACTTTGCAGAAAATTGTAATCATATTAACATAACTCACAAATGAAAAGGTTTGGTGTTGGAGATCTAGATATTTGCCCCCTCTGTAACAATCTCTTTCATGTACCTGACTAAAGTAAGCAAACTCACTTTACTACCTCTAGAAGCCTAAAGATATTCTTAGGAATCTCTCAAGGTTATGTTTCTGAAAGCAATACAAATATAATAGGCTTTACCAATGTAAGGTATTACTGTATTTGTTACTATACAATTGTTATTCATTACTTACCATGTCCAAAAATAAGTGTGTAACTTCAACCTGCCTGTGCTAAAAGATTAGGGCATATCTGTATGCCCTCAAGATCAAGAGCTTTCACTATGAAAATTCTCTTGTGCAACTTTTAATTCTGTTAAATTAGCTGATCTTTTTCTTTACTAACAGAATCTTCATTAAGTTTTAAATAAAGAATGACAGTATTGCTGCTCACTTTCAAGCCATAGCTTTGACCTTCCAAACCACTTATAAGCTGAACAAGATGTAATATTGAGAATAGAAAATACTTTAGTTGAAAACCTTGAGTATCCCTGCTGGATCCTGGCTTGGCTTGTGACCTTTAACAAATCACTGATTCTCTGTGAGTCAGATTTCCTCTGATCCTATATTGACAATATGTAGCTTATAGAAACAGCTAGAAAACTTATACTTTTGAGGCATTCTACTTTTAATGATTTATATACATTGTTGCTGGAATAGTTATAACTCAGCTCCCCATAGAAAGTTAATGTAGTCAATCCTTTAACAATAGTAACTGTATACTGTGTATGTAGGAGGAAAATGGAGAAGAGGAGGGATGGGAAATGACTATTTTATACCATGTGTGGGGGAGGCATGAAGAGGAATATCATAAAATCAAATCGCTTATTTTACAATTTCATATAAAAAATGGCTATCTGATGTTGGCATACTCTAATCTTTTTTTTTTTTTTGAGATGGAGTTTTGCTCTCATTACCCAGGCTGGAGTGCAATGGCGCAATCTCGGCTCACCGCAGCCTCCACCTCCTGGGTTCAGGCAATTCTCCTGCCTCAGCCTCCTGAGTAGCTGCCGGGCGTGGTGGCTCACGCCTGTAATCCCAGCACTTTGGGAGGCCAAGGCGGGTGGATCACGAGGTCAAGAGATCGAGACCATCCTGGTCAACATGGTGAAACCCCGTCTCTACTAAAACTACAAAAAATGAGCTGGGCATGGTGGCGCGTGCCTGTAATCCCAGCTACTCAGGAGGCTGAGGCAGGAGAATTGCCTGAACCCAGGAGGCGGAGGCTGCGGTGAGCCGGGATCGCGCCATTGCACTCCAGCCTGGGTAACCAGAGCAAAACTCCGTCTCAAAAAAAAAAAAAAAAAAAAAAAAAATTTTGCAAATAAAGAACTCAAGCGAGAACAAATACTGAGAGTTCTGAGGGATATTCATTAATCATGGAACTAGTTCCTCTCCATGGCTGCTAATGTCTTTGTAGAAATACATCTGATCTACCTTTCAAGATTATTGAATAAATATGCAATTATGAAATAGCATATCACTATTATTATCTTTTTCTCTCTTCATTTTGTGCAGTAAACAGGAAGTCATTTTGGACCTCTTTTAATTATTTATTTCTTTTTTTGTCTTTAGGAGTTGTACAGATGTTCTGTGCTGTATGATCTTCCTACTGTGTATTATTGGCTACATTGTTTTAGGACTTGTGGGTGAGTAAATACAGGTATAGAAAATATTTAACACTTGCTAATGGAATAACTAAGTCAGTGCCACATATCAAAAATTAACTATTTTCTTCCAAAAGCCTTCCTATTATTGATTGTTGTCCTTCCTGGAGGAAATGTACCTCACCAGGATTTATTGGGTAGCAGACAGTAAGAAATGAACACAAAACACTCTAGTCAAAGACAAGCCTAAATTACTGAAATAAATACAATTATAAAAAAGAAAGAGAAAATTTTATGGTTTATTTTTAATCATTTTTACTTTTGAAATTCTATTAAGCAACTAATTATGTTCATGTTGCTGTTTACTAATAAGAACTAGGGCCTAGATCATTTTAGTTAATATTAACATATAAACTTTTCTTTTTATAAGCAAATTTGAAAAGAAGGAACAATTACTAAGAATTTCACCAGATAACTCATTGACATACAAAAAGGTTCTAGTCTCTGCCCAAGAGATATCCAGCAAAGAGATATACTGTTATTTATTGTTAAATTAAAGATTTTTCTATGAAAATGAAAACAAGAGAAGTATAGAGATTCTTTATTTGGTTTTTTTGTTTTTTTTTTGAGATGGCAGCATCTTGCTCTGTCACCAGGCTGGAGTGCAGTGGCGCGACCTCAGCTCACTGCAACCTCCAACTCCCTGGTTCAAGTGATTCTCCTACCTCAGCCTCCTGAGTAGCTGGGATTACAAACATGCACTACCACGCCCAGCTAATTTTTGCATCTTTTTAGTAGAGATGAGGTTTTACCATATTGGCCAGGATGGTCTTGATCTCCTGACCTCATGATAAACATACCTCAGCCTCCCAAAGCGCTGTGATTACAGGTGTGAGCCACCACTCCTGGCCTATTTGGATTTTTTTTTTTTAAACTACCACAGGAACTAGTGTGAATATGTTTTGTTAAAGGGTTACACAATTGTATATGAATGGATTAAACATTTTTTCCCCCAGAGACATAGGTTCTGTCCTTTAAATTCTGACTTAAGAAACTTTAATATGTTATTATTAGAGTGAAGATTGTGAACATCAGCTATTAGCTAGTACCAATAATTAATAGCATGTAGTCAATGTGGATAGAATGTATTAGCAGAAAGAAAGTTATACCCTAACTGGGAAACAATGAAAAATATTTTTCCCTGCTCTTCAGTATTATCTTCCAATAAGAGAAATACTTTGAGAACACCAATTAAAAGTCATTTCCAAAAGATAATCTCAATATTGCTGTACCAAAACTACACAGAATTGGAGAGTTCAAAAAATTAAGACAGGAAAATAGGCAGGGAGAGAAAAATAAAGGAGCATAAACCACAAAACTAAGTATACTCTTCTAAGACCTTCAGAACATTCTTTTGTTATTAAAGTATTTTAGCTTCTAAACATTAATGAAGTTGTAGGACAATATGTAATCTCTAATATAATAAAATAAATTTTCTTGTACAAAATATAGAATTTTAGTTTCTTTCTCTTTGGGTCACATATTTCTTATCAATATAATTTTTTGTTTGTTTTTACTCTTCATCATAGAATTGAAATTTGTTATATAAGCAACAGATTTGGAATCAGGCAGATCCTGAGTTTCATTATTTTTTTTGATGGACTTGGGTTACTTACTCAACCTGTTTTCTTACCTGGGAGGTGTGAAAACATCACCTGCCTTTCAGGGCTGTTGTGAGGAGTAAATGAAGTAATACTTAACTGCATCAATAATGCATCATAGTAGTTTTGGGTAGTAATTTGTTTGCTATCATAGTATAACCTAGTTATTCTGAATTTTAATACATTTCAATATAATTTATATATTGTTTCCATGGTGACCCATAATTTGAGTTATTAAAGTTTGACTACATGACAGGAACTTCACAAAGATCTCATCCTGTGACCAGAATCTTTTCACTAGGTTGCCTTATTCCTTCATTAAATAAGTTTTTCCTCTGTATCTCAAAGCCAGTGTGATGCAGTCCATAGAAAAATGTTTTGTGTCTTTATACAGAGCAAGAAAAGCCATTGCCAGTCTCCTGTAGACAAAACAGAGGAGTGTATGCCATTATTTTCTCTGCAGCAAGATAAGAAATTTGCCATTTTGTTCCAGAACTCCAAATTCAGTTTGTAAATGTCTTAATTCACATAAGGAAATTGGCAGATAAATATTACTCAATAAAAAAAAACTATATTGAATAGATTAATTCGATGTCTCCAGATTAATCCCAATGCCACTGATTAAAATGAGTGACTCACCAAATTCACTACATACCTTTTTCCATCCCTGTACTATAAATAGCCTTACTGGCTTCATTCCAAGATAAATTTAATTCTTTGAATATATCTAATATTGGACTAAAAAAAGCATGAGGGGAAACTATGGCAGAAGTTACTAGAAGTGTTAAGGATTTTTTTTTAACACGAACGAATATATACCTTCATTTGAGCAAATAGTGATAAGTCAGTTTCACTGATGTGTTATAGGTAATTTGGTGACTTTTGCCAACTTTATTAGATTAGTGCTTTTGTAGACTTATCTTTCTTTCTTTCTTTCTTTTTTTAAAAGATGGGGTTTCACCATGATGGCCAGGTTGGTCTTGAACTCCTGACCTCAGGTGATCCACCCATCTTAGCCTCCCAAAGTGCTAGGATTAAAGGCGTGAGCCACTGTGCCCAGCCCTAACTTTCATCCATGATCTTTTCATAAAGAAGTGTTTCCACGGAAGTTTTTTTTTTGTTGTTGTTGTTGTTTTTTTGTTTGTTTGTTTGTTTTTTACAAAATCTGCTGAGAGAAATGCCCTTTATGTAGAATATGGCCAGCTAGGGTAACACTTGAATGCAACAGAGACACTTAACATTTGATTGATGAACAGCAGAGCCTCTGTTCAAATGGATAAAGTGGAGTCTGGATAGAAGTAATCAAATCTTGAAAGATCAAACTAACCTTTATGATAATAGCCTTCTTTTGTCCTACTTTGGTCATGGTTACTATTCAATTATTGTACTAACTAGAAAACATGGGAATATTTATTATGCAAATTATTCTTTGCTATACTTTTGCTATCATTAAGTATATAAGAATAGCACAATTTTAACAATCAATACATTTTTATGGCCAGGCGTGGTGGCAGTGGCTCACACCTATAATCCTAGCCCTTCAGGAGGCTGAGGCTGGCTGATTGCTTGAGCTCATGAATTTGGGACCAGCCTGGGCAACATGGTGAAAACCTTGTCTCTACAAAAAAATACAAAAATTAGCCCGGTGTCGTGATGTGCTCCTGTAGTCTCAGCTACTTGGGAGGCTGAGGTGGGAGGATGGCTTGAGCCTGGAAGGTGGGTGTTACAGTGAGCCGACATCACACCACTGCACTCCAGCCTGGTTGACAGAGCCAGACTTTATCTCAAAAATAAGTAAGTAAATAAATAAATAATTCTTATTTTGTTTTCTTTTTAAATGGATTACTCTTTGGGTGATTTGGTTCATTATTGTATTTACTTAGGAAGTGCTTGAAGTTAGGATCCAAAGTTTGTTTTGGTTTTTGTTTTTTTAACCTTTCCCAGAGTAATTATCTCTATTAGCTAAGAAGGTAAGAAGTTAACAAGAAAGCTAATGCAAACAAGACCAGAACTCTGTCACCATGCTGTAAGAAGCCCAAGCTGTGTGTAGCAGCTACATGGAGGAGTCCTGGCCAACAGGCTCAGCTGGGCTCCCAGGGATAAATCAGTCCAGTTGGGTTTTCAGAAGCCCCAGTCAACAGTTGACTGTATGAAAGATCCCAAGGGAGAATTAAGCCTTTCCCTAAATTCCTGACACCCAAAATCATGAGCAAATTTTAAAATTGTTATATAAGGCCAGTGAGTTTGAGGGTGCAACAATAGATAAGCAGAACAACATTTGGTACCTGAAAGTGGGATGCTGGCTTCACAAACCTACTATATAGGCATTCGTTTTGAGACCAGGTGGTGTTCAGAAACCCAGTGGGTTTTGAAGAGGCTGGCAGTGAGTTTGGAAGAAAATGAGCAAAATGTGATTGGAAGCAGGAGGGAAGGGCACCTTGCTGTAGTGGTAAAAAATCTGGCATCACTGTTGCTGTGGTAATGAGGGAAGTTGGAAATGTACATAATTAATTCAATGATCTAGCTAAAGAAATCATCCTTAGGAGAGTAGCTAACCCCCCTGAGCCTTGTCCACACTTGGACCTGACTTAGGTGATGAGATCTAGACCTTAAGCCTGAGCCTGATGAGGTAATTGGATGAAGCTTCTGGGAGATCTTGAGAGAGGAAAAGAAAAGAAAAAGAAACTGGCTAGAGGGTGAACTATGGTACCTTAATACATGGCTGCAAATTCTTTGTCATTTTTCTCATTGAGAAGTAGAATCTGAAGTCCTTTCCTCTTGAATATGGTCAGGCTTGTGATTGCTTCCTTAATAGAGAAATGAACCAAACCAAAGCAGAGCAGTAATGAGCCTTGACATGCAGGTAATTTATAGAGCAGTGCAGTACAAAGGATTAAAGGAATGGCATCATGACTTGACTGGGGACAAATCTGAAAATATCAAGTAGAGAAAGAAAGAAGTTTACATAATTACATAAGGCTAAATTTTCATATTCAGCCTTAATCCTTCATAGAATAAGGTAGGGAATAAACAAAATAGTTAATAACAGTCAAAATTGACCCCATCATTTCTGATATTAAAGAATATGTTCATTGTTTTTGGGCAATGATACAGTCACATCTATTTTTCCATTTAGTACTTAAGGAAATCTAGCGTATCACATTCTTTCCTGACCTAAACTTTCCCAAAACACCAATGAGGGAGCAATTGTATTTCCAGTTTCTAGGTGGAAAGACTGTAGTGTTCCCAAGTTCTGACATTTTGGTTGTGCCATTTAGATCATTTCATAGTCCATTGCTCATCTTAATCTTCCCACTACTGTAGCAGCTTCCCAATCCAAGATTACTGCTTTTTAAGTCTTTCAGCAATATTTCAACCATT